TGTTGCCTCACAGTCTCAGTGTTTCCTAACATCCATAAAAGCTCTGCAGCCTGGGCAACAGAGCAACACCCTGTCTCAAAAAAAGAAACCATCCAGAGCCAGCTTCAGGGACCCTAGAGAAGCTCACCTGTGTCCCTGGCAGTGTCCCATGAGGCTGCTCGTTCCCAGACGCTGCGCAGGCTCTGGCAGCCCCTGGCACTTCACAAGCGTGAGCTTTACCCAAGCCCTGCGATCCTGGAAAACAATTATGAAATCCCCCACCCCACAGTGTGCTGGGAAAGCCTTCTGCCGAGAACCACCCTCCCCAAACAAGCCAGAGATCACAGAGGTACCCCTTGTTTACCCGAAACAAGGCCCTCCAAATTCCCATTCTCTGCCCCAGAAAACACTGGCCATTTCTCCCCATTATCATCAACTGGAACACAATTCCCTTACCTGGACTTTTTTTTTTTTTTTTGAGACAGAGTCTCACTCTGTTGCCCAGGCTGAAGCACACTGGCACAATCTCACGGTAACCTCCTCCTCTCAGTTCAAGTGATTCTCCTGCCTCAGCCTCCCGAGCAACTGGGATACAGGTGTGTGCCACCACGCCCGACTACTTTTTGTGTTTTTATTTATTTATTTATTTATTTTGAGACGGAGTCTAACTCGGTCACTCAGGCTGGCATGCAGCGGCATGGTCTCGGCTCACTGCAACCTCCGCCTCCTGGGTTCAGGTGATTCTCCTGCCTCAGCCTCCCAAGTAGCTGGAATTACAGGCGCCCACCACTGTGCCCAGCTAAGTTGTGTATTCTGGCCTCAGCTCTCTGATGTGCTGGAGGCCCTGGCCCTCCACTGTCCCACCCTCCTCCCCATCTTGATTATTTCCAGCCTTGGCCACGCCTCCCTGCAAAAGAAAAGCCCTGTCCGGTCTGGCCTGAGACCCTCACAGAACTCGGGGTCCCCTGTTCTCCCTGCCGCACAGCCCCAGCCGCCTCTCTTCAGTAACTGCCCTCACTTCAGCTCTCTCCCCACCCGAGTCCGGGCTCGTGATTAGACACGAACGTGCTCTCTCCTCCCCGGCTCTGAATCTACAGTATCCAAATGTCAACCTGCCAGCACGGTGCTGTGGTCACTGCTTCTGCCAGCACCTCGGATGGGAGGTAGGAGGGGTGCACAGCAGCAACGATTTCAAGGATAAGACTCAAGCCCAGATGGCTGCACGCCCCGACCGCCCACCCCCAGGCCCACTACCTTGCGTCAGTGTCGGATATTTGATGGCAGAGTCAGACAAGCCCCAGAGATCATCTGAGGTTTCCTTCACACCCCCAAAGCACCTCTGTTCAAACTGGTGTTGCACGAAGCTTTACACACCGCCTCTGCCTCCCCTGCCCCAAAGGTTCCGGAGGAGGCTCAGACTGGAGAAACCTCAGCTGGTCCTTGAGAATCTGAGAGCTGCAGGCCACCTCTGAGAAAGGCGCGTGTGTGCACACATTCCCCAGGGGCTTTTTGCAGCATTGCAAAGGGATAACCCTCATGAGCCCAAACTGATAAAACGGCCCAGGTCAGGCACCTGGTATTCAGGAGCAGTGCAATGGGCTGAACTCACACTCCCCAGGCTGAGAACAGAGCCAGAAGGAAAATGGACCAACACGTTTACAGATGACAATGAAGCCAGTTGGCACACAGCCACCAAGCCAAAGACAATATTACCCACCTGCCATGTTCTACCGAATTCTCCTCTGCCCATTCCTAACCACCACAAATAAACCTATTTTTCCGCAACTGGTTATCTGCACATTTGAGTCACCTCCCTGCAACCACCTTAGTGGCCCCAAGCACACAGCCCACAGCGCAGCTCTGTGTCCCCTGCAGCACTGCCACGAGCCAGGCGACTGTTACAGTTACATTTTCCCTCGAGCCATCGCAACTAAAGCCAGACATTATTCCAAATCTTCCAGTCCTCACTGCCCCGTCTCATTCCTCCAGAACACTGTCTTCAGTCACTTCTGGGCTCTAAGACCACGCTCCAATAAAATCCAAAACACAAAACTCAAAGTCCAACTTCACTAGAATGGTTTCTCCCGTCCCCCAAGCCCACCCAACGCTAGGGCCTTCCTCAGCTGCTCAGAACCCAATTGACCATCCAAACATGGTGGGGGGGCTCTGGAGGGACATCCTGCCGCCACGCCAATGTGGGAATGAATCTTCTCTTCCAGGAGGGGCGCCACCTGACTCAGGTGTTTCAACTCCACTGGGTAGGAAGTCACCGCGGGACTTCCACACAGCCCCTCCACAGAGGCCACGAAGAAAGACTGGGGAAAAATGCTAAACAATTCAGCTGATACCAAAAGGGTTCTGGAAGGAATGAAGGAGGGGAACACAGTGGTAACTAAAAACCAGAACCGTAAAATCAGTGCTGGTGTAGGCCATGGAGAAAGAAACTGCTTCAGTGGAAACCTCTGCCTCCTGTTGGCCATGCTTTCTCACACTCTCTGCACGGTTCATAGAGCTGTGGAGTATTTCGGTGCTATTAAGAGTTCATGGGCATACGCCACAAATACATATGATTTTCACTTGTCAACTTAAAAATACATTTTGGGGGTGGTGGGGAAAAAGAAAAAAAATTTTAAAAAAAAAAACATTTTGGCCGGGTGCAGTGGCTTACACCTGTAATCCCAACACTCTGGGAGGCCAAGGCGGGCGGATCACCTGAGGTCCGGAGTTCAAGACCAGCATGACAAACATGGTGAAACCCCCCGCATCTTAAAAAAAAAAAAAAAAAAAATTTTTAAAAAGATGTCACAGGAGAATGATTGGGGGAAAGTGTCTTAAAAAACTCCTTAGGGTGACGACACTGGGGAGAGGTGAGAAGCACTGGTCTAGACCCGTCAGGACCCCCTCGGTGACAAGGGAAGGCTCCGTGCACTGTAGACGCTGACACATTTCCCCATAGCCACTGGAATTCCGTCCTGTCCCAGAGGCTCTGCAGCAGCCCTCCCCGCCAGGCCTCTGTTCCAGCTTCAAGGAACCCAGATCAATTCGTGCTACTTTGACTTCTTGAACCCGGTTCCAACATCTGCTTAGTTCTCTCACTGAGGGAATTAAATGAATCTGTAACATGCATTAAGTACGAAAGTCATATTACAGGCCGGGCGAGTGGCTCATGCCTGTAATCCCAGCACTTTGGGAGGCCAAGGAGGGCGGATCACGTGGTCAGGAGTTCGAGACCAGGCTGACCAACATGGTGAAACCTCGTCTCTACTAAAAATACAAAAAAATTAGCTGGGCGTGGTGGTGCACGCCTGTAATCCCAGCCACTTAGGAGGCTGAGGCAGGAGAATTGCCTGAACCTCGGAGGCGGAGGGTGCAGTGAGCCAAGATCGTGCCACTGCACTTCAACCTGGGAGACAGGGTGAGACTTCATCTCAAAAAAAAAAAAAGGCATATTACAAAAATTTTTTCTCGGAGTTTTTTATCCTGCTAAAATCCACAGAGTATAAACTGGACAGACTTGTTAGTGCACAGGCAGTGAGAGTAAATGCACTCGAGGCCTTCCTAGCTGGCCAAGGAGCTGGGGTGAGGCAAAGGCGCCTCCCATCAGGTCAAGGGGAACCCCATGGGACCCCCAGGGGGTGGCCTGGCTCAGGGACCTCACGTCCACGCCCCAACTTCTGCGAGAGTGACCTGGGCAACTTCCACGGTGCCTGGGCCGCTGGGAAACGCTTGCAGACCTGCGGTCTCCTTCAAATTCTCCAGTGGGCGACTGCGGCCTCGCTTCCGAGGTGGAGGGTGGTGTAGACGAAGGGGAAAGGGAGGCAGCCTGGCCCACGGGGTGGGTCCTGCCTCTCCTCCCCGCCTGGCTTCTGAGCAGGAGGTGGCTTCGGAACCCGCCACCCATCCGCGGCACCGACGCCTCTCCCGGTTCCCGGGCGGGACCCCCGCAGGGCCGCCGGCTCCAGCGCTTCCGCGGACCGCAAACGCCTTCCCCGCTGAGCTTGCGAGGAACGCGCGCCGCCTTCCACTTTCTCTCGGGACCGAGTCCACACGCGCTAGCCCAGCACGAAACGGCCTCGGGCAGGGCCGCACCCACCCCCGGGACCAGCCCGCGCCCCGCGGCCCGTACCCCGCGCCCCGCACACCGCCTCCCGGCGCCCCCCCCCGAGCAGCTGCAGGCCCTCCCGCCCTCCCCAGACCTTCGCACCGGGACCCCGCGCGCGTCCCGCCTTCCCCGGACCCCCGCACTGACACCCCGTGCGCCTCCCACCCTCCCGGCGGGCGCAGGAGCCTGAGGCGGGGGCCCCGGAATGCGGCCAGTCTGGGGGAGGGTCAGGCGGGGGCCTGCTGGGGAAGGGGCCGCCCGAGGCGGAGGGGGTGCCGCGGGGGCCTGGAAGCCCGCGGGGCCGGGCGAGGGCGGCGGGGAGGGTCCGAGACGCGGGCCGGGGCGGCGGCCACCCACCTCCTTGTCCGGGACCCATTGCGGCTCCTCCAGGCCGAACGGGCTTCCGAAGGCGCGGTGCTCCGGCACCATGCGCAGGCCGCTAGGGGAGCGCACCAGCTTCTTGGCGTCGCGACGCGCGGACACCTCGGAGGACATGACGCCGCCTCAGCCTCTCGGCCCGAGGCCCCGCACCAGGCCCCTAGCCCAGCCCGGGGGCACCGCCCGCCCCGCCCGCGCGCGGCTGACAGCGCCGTCGTCCAATCGCCAAGCCCGCCACGGAGCGCGGACCAATCGGAGCTCGAACTCCGCCGCCACTCCAATTCGCGTAAGGACACCGCCCCTGCCACCCTGCGGTCGGTGACCAATCGGCGGTGAGGGCTGGCCCGGGCGTGCTCCGCCCATCTTGGTGGGATTGAGACTTTGGATTGGCTAGTTAGTCAGTCACGTCGGTGTCACTTCGTCTCTGATTGGTGTAGCCCTCGCAGGGCTCCCGCGCCTATTGGAGGAGGAGGCTGAGAGGGGCGGGACGGCGCGAAGACAAGAGCGGGGCCCGAGGTAGGTGAGATTAGCTGAGCCACGCTGCGGGGCCCGGCGGCGGTGGGGTCGGACGTCGTTGGCCGCCGCGGGCGTGAGGGGTGTGGCAGGGTCGAGGGGCAGGGGCGGCCGCGGATCTCCACTGCCGGAGCTGGTTGGAGCAGGCGGGCCTGAGGCTGCAGCCCGGGTCGCCTTCGGGCGCCTCCCTGGGGAAGGCGGGCTCGGGGGTCCCTGGTGCGCCGAAGGCCGAGGTGGGCCCGCGGCTGCGTCCCCGACCTTGGGCGCCTTCACTTGCCTGCCTGGGACCGCGCTGGCCTGGCATCGAGGTGGTAGAGGTCTGAATACAGTTATTTAATGCTTTCGTTTGGAAAGAAAATCTTTAGGCCGGACGCGGTGGCTCATGCCTGTAATCCCAACGCTTTGGGAGGCCAAGGCAGGCGGATCACGAGGTCAGAAGTTCAAGACCAGCCTGGCCAACATGGTGAAACGCCGTCTCTACTAAAAATACAAAAATTAGTTGGGCATGGTGACACTTGCCTGTAATCCCAGCTACTCGGGAGGCTGAGGCAGGAGAATCGCTTGATCCGGGACCTGGGAGGCAGAGGTTGCAGTGAGCCAAGATCGATCGTGCCCACTGCGCTCCAGCCTTGGCTACGGAGGGAGACTCCGTCTCAAAAAGGGGGAGAAAAAAAACTTTGTTTATCCTCCCTTTAATTTCTTATTACAAGGCGTGAATTTTTATTGTTTGAGACAGGGTCTCGCTGTCGCCCAGGCTGGAGTGCAGTGGCGTGTGATCACAGCTTAGTGTAGCCTTCACCTCCTGGGCTCCCAAGTGGCTGGGACCGCAGGTGCCACCACGGTTCTCGGCTATTTTTCTTTTTCTTTTTGGTAGAGAAGGGGTCTCGCTGTGTTGCCCAGGCTGGTCTCGAACTCCTAGGCTCAAGCATCCCGCCGCCTCGGCCTCCCACGGTGCCGGCATGACAGGTGTCAGCAGTTGAGCAGCGTTGAAGTCTCAGAAGTGGGGTTTGTGTGGCTGACTCTGCCCTCCCCCTTGGGCATTGGCAGTGCCAGGGTCCTTGTGGGTGAAGGAAATAAGGAGATGATCAGAGTATGATTCCACAAATCACGTGGTTTTCTGTCAAAGAGAATTTGTTTCTCGGTTTCACAGTGCTCAGGGGAGGCAAGAGGAAGAGGCAAAGACTCCTGGCAGGGAAGTAGGCGCTCTGTGGGCAAGGTGCATTGTCCACAGGGAGGCGAGTGCCAGAATGGGCAGGTCCAGTCGCTCCACTGGGATGGAGCAGGCCTCTGGAAATGAGGTCTGGTTAGAGTTGACGATCTGCCTTAATAGCCACAGAGAGCAGGAGCGCAGCAGCTCTCTGAGAGGCTGGGACGGAGGACCAGCTCCCGGGCCAGCAGAGTATTGCTTGCCTCAAAGCAACTGCCCAACCTTCAAGTTGGTCTGTATTGTTGCAGTCCAGGAGTTAAGGTCAGTAACTCACATAAGGGAGTGTCTGAGAAGGTTTAAGAGGCATTTCCACTTGAGGCCTCACAGATGTGGTCTGATAAGACATCACGCTCATAGTCTGATGTTTTGGTGCTAGGAATCACTTCAAAGCCACACAGCAGGTCCCAGGCCTGAGGCAGAGGAGGGAGTCCACCTCGGAAGGGTGGGAACAGCTCCAGGCCAGGACCACAGCACTTCCGGAGTCTGGTTTGTGAGACTGACAGCTCTGGTGTGACCGTCCACACTCACCTAGCAGTGCCTAACAGCAGCTCTTCCCCGAAGTCATGGCTCAGCTGGGGTGCTGTCGGAAGAGGCACCGGTCTGTCTTGGGCCTGCCCCTTGCCTACCGAGGCAGCTCCCTGTGCGTGGCCTTCACCCTGGTGGAGGGACGGGTTGGTCACACCCCTGCCCCTCGCAGAGGTGGGAGGACAAAGGCATGCATGGGGCTGTCTGTGGAGCTTCCAGGCCAGTGTCGGACATAACAGGTGCTTGGTGGTAAATGGAAAATATTCCAGGAAACTTGTGAAAGCACGGTAAGCAGACCATGGTTTCGTTCAGAAACTCTGGGAGGTGTAGGAACCACTACACCAGGGTCTTGCAGCGGGAAGGAGGCTGGGCTCAGCTCTGGACAGGGCATGGGCTGGCGGGGCTTACGGCTCCAGAGCAGGGCAAGGTCAGAGGAGGGAAGGCTGCGAAGCAGAACCCGCAGGAGTGAAGGGGATTCAGCTTAAACTCACCTGCCAGGAGATCAGGCCGCCCTGGGGACAGTGTAAGATGAGGAGCTCCATCAGCTGTCAAGGGCAATGGGACACAGGGAAGGAGGTCCTCGCTAAACTGACTGAGCCAGGCCTGTTAAATTGAGTTCTCACCAGGATGTGCACAGCGCCCAGGAGGAGCTCAGGAGCCATGCTGCCATTGCCAAGCAGGGAGCCTGTTACCTGTCAGTGGGCACTCTGCTTCCAGGCGTCTTGGCCCGTGTTGCAGAGGCCGGAGATGCTGCAGCCACGCGCTGGCCTTTCTGGTGCTCGTGCATGTCCTGCTGCTTGGCACAGTCCGAGTTGCATATCCAGATCCAACCCGGGGCAGCAGCCTCCTCACAGCCCCCAGACCCGGCCTGTCTGACGGACACGGCTGCTCAGGGAACCGTCCCTCCAGTGCAGATGTGTGCTGGCGCCCAGGCTGTGTTCGGGTGGTGCCTCTGGTGTGGGGGTCCCCTACCAGCCCCGAGGTTCACACTCCCCAGGCTGCTTCCTGTTCTCAGGGCTTGGAGAGTGCCATGTTCTGAACACCATCTTCCCCAGCCAGGGAGGCCACATCTTTGACAGCACAGTGCCTTCTCTGGAGGTAGCATTTCTTTATTTGCCTTCTGTGCCCGGGAACCTAACTTCCTCACTCTGGCCAGCTCTGCCAGCAGTTTTGAGCTGGTCCAGCACCCCACTGCCATGCCTTGGCCTGCGCCTGGCCCTCCAGGGTGGCTCCTTGCCAGTTCCCGTCAGGCTGCCTGGGCAGCCAGGCCTGGGCACTTTCCTGTCCCTTGTTCAGAAAACCCACAGGCTGTGGGGGCCTGGAGCCTGGTACGCAGGCAGGAAACACATCGTGGAGCGCCAGCTTCCCTGCCCTGCCCGCCTCGAGGGTGCCTGGGGGTGCGCCTCAGCCTGCGGCCCCCGGAGTCCAGTCCATTCTCCACACCGTGCCTGTCTCCCTGAGCAGGCTGAGCATGGGCATGTGAGTGACCAGTGTGATCGCATCCAGGCCAGTGCCACATTCTGTGTGGTTCGAGGAAAAGCCTTCTCCAAGTCCGAGGCCCGCCCTTTCCTCTGCAGGATTTCGGCCGAGGCCACTGCGCCAGACCTCACTGGAGGACACGGACCCTGGACCCGACCCTCAAAACTGCTGCCTTCCCATTTCCCAGTGCCCTGGACACTCTTGGTCTTACCATTTGGGAGGCTGAGGGACGCAGAGTGGCCTGTCGGAAAGGCCTTGTGTGACGCCAGGCTGAGTCCTTGAGCAGCCCGCCGAGGCCAGAGGGAAGAAGAGCCGAGCTTCTCCCATGCTGGGCTGGGCTCGTGGAAGGGCTGCCAGCTCCCTTCCTGGTAGAGGCTGGGTGGGGTCCACAGGGCCTTCCGCCCGCCCGGAAGGAAGCTGTCTTCTGCTGTTGGCTGCTGAGACAGCTGGGGGCCGCCAGTGTTCAGATTCCTGAAGCACCCTGCAAATCCCAGACTCACCTTCCCACTCTTTCCAGAGTCCCCAGAGACACACTTAAGGGAAATTAAACTGCAGAATATAAGAGATGCCTCAGTCAAATCGGCTGGAAACACACGGGTCATGGTGGGCAGGCGCTCACCTGCCGCAGGAGGATGGCCTTGATTTTAGCACTTTCCACAGGGTGAATGTGGCGGGATTTGGGGGATTTTTCAAATGCGTCAGTGTCTGGAATGGGTTCTAAGCTACCAAATAATTCTTAGAGGTAAATTACAGACGTGTTGCCTCATCATAGCTAGACAGCATTCTCTGTACAGTGAAGTGTCTCCTCCACCCTCAGTGACAGACACCTCACAGACGCCACGGCTGCTGTCACTTCCCTGCTGCGCGCCTCCCACAGGCGGTTTGAATTGGCGAGTGCCCGTGCGTCCATTGTTCTGTCTTCCTGCGAAGTTATTCATCCTGGTGGTCAGCCCACCGACAGAATGGATTTGGATCTGCTGGACCTGAATCCCAGAATTATTGCTGCAATTAAGAAAGGTACATTTATTTCTATTTGTATAAAGTAGGTTTGTGATGTAAAGTGTGTGTGTGGGGGGGTGCACTTTAAAGAAGGCAAGTTAACAAAATGCTGGCTCTCTAAGCCTGAGGCTTCCTCCCTTTGCCTTCCTGATAAACCGAGGCTGGGATGTGCTATGGGATTTATGGGATTTTCAGAGGGTGTGTGTGTGTGTGTGTGTGTGTGATGTTTTCTTAACTGCACGGACTTCTTTCAGTTAATTTTATTTTTATCTAAGTAATACTGCATCTTGTCTGAAAAGTGAAATGGAGCCACATATAAGTCTTTTAGTTATTTTTTTTTTAAATATTTACATCTGGGCTCCTAAATGTGTTTCTGTTGCAGTGTTTGATTTGTCAGTGTTATTGATTACCCATGGTCTTCCTTTTGGGGGCGGTGAGAATTGAGCCTGCCTACACCCCATGTACCCCAGCTTCCTCTCCCCCAGCTCCCTGCACATAGTTAGAACTTAGTTTGGGTGACATCAGCTGTCGGGGCTGTGATTGGGCGCATACTGACCATTGTTGAACCTGGTGTAGTGGTGCGGGGGTGGGGGGTGGGGTCGTTTTCTTTCTTACAACATCTTTTTCCCCTGAGTTAGTAAATGCTCAAAGCTTAGGCCCCACTTGCAGCCCCCAACCCCTGCTCCCCATGCCTGTGGCCCAGCTGTCATCCAGAACACTCCTTCCATCCTCCATCTTCCCCATCTCCCTGGTGAGAAACCGGAGTGCACGCGGAGCCTCTGCAGCGGCTTGGTGACAGGGCAGGGCCTCACTGTCCTGCCCCTCCATCCTTGGCTGTTGGTTTTCATCCAACACCACAAGGCTGTTGGTGGCCTTGTGATCACAGAACGGCTGCAACAGCTGCAGACACAACACTTGCAGTCCAGGGACTTCCTTTCTCACCCATGTCTCTTATCCAGAAATGAGCGTTTCCAGAAGTCCCTGCAGACTTGGCAGCTGTGAAGGGGGCTGAGGCCGTGAGGCTTACCAAGGGGAGCCGTCCCCCCACAGCCCCAATCCCTGCCAGTCCACAGGGCTATACAGAGCCCTCTGGAGCAGGCTGTCTGCGTGAGGCCCGCTCCGCTGGATCTGGCGAGACCTAGGATGCTTTCTTCATTCCCACCTTTCCATCTCCTTGAGTTTTCTGTGTGGCCGTTCCAAAAATCACACCAGTGATGACTGTTTTCCAGCTTGATGGTTGTCTTTTCACTGCAGAATTCAGCGCACACGTGTTGAGGGAGGTTCTGATGCGACAGGTTTGAGCCTCTGGGCTAGGCAGAGCCTTTGTCCACCACTGCTTCCTCTCCAGTGCGCTTCCTCTCTTGCACTTCCCTGGTCGTCTGATAGGTCTGCAGCATTTGCCTTCTTTCTACGAGTTTGAAAGTAGAAAGTGAAGTACTAATCCACGTCCAAAGTTAACTTCTTTACTTTTCTCCCAAAACAGTAGGTCATGGGGATCTGCGCTTCTGTAACCGCTGCCACTGCCCTTCTGATTTGCACACACTCTGACCCCTGCCCTGACTGCCCTGCTGGCGTTTGGACCTGTGCTCTGCTTCCCTCCCAGCACTGCGTGCCCCCCCCTACCATGAACGTGGTCTCACCTGCAGCTCAGCCTGGATCCGTGCCTGGCGGGTGGGTGGTGGACCTCAGCGTTAGTTCTTCGCTGCCCCTTTCTGGAGCACTGTCTCCAGCTGGCATGGAACTGGGTGCCTGTTGCTTCTTCTCAGCACCTGGGACCTGCCCGTCCCTGTCTACTGGCTTCTGTTCCAGCTCATGTGAGGCTGGCACCTGCCCGAGTACCAAGACTCAGGGCGCAGTGCCCAGCAGCCCTTTCCTCTTGCCTGTGGGTCAGCCACACTCTGTCCAGGGTTTCCAGGGAGCAGGGGGATCCGGTCCCTACCCACCTTGCCCCCAGAATCGGAAGCACAGTGTTCTCACAGTGCTCTTAAAAGCACCTTTCGTCGCCATGTTGCCGTGTGTTATTACAGTCTGATGTTTTCCTGTAATTTATCTGTGTCATTTCAGCCAAACTGAAATCGGTAAAAGAGGTTTTGCACTTTTCTGGACCAGACTTGAAGAGACTGACCAACCTCTCCAGCCCCGAGGTCTGGCACTTGCTGAGAACAGCCTCTTTACACCTGCGGGGAAGCAGCCTTCTTACAGGTAGGTGGGTCCTGGCATCTCCGTGGGGGTCACATGTGGCTCCAGCATCTCAGTCCATGTGCTGCAAGGCAGGGGGCTGTGCAGACTCCAGGGACCAGCCTTGGGGCATGTGGCAGCTGCTCCAGCCCCAGAGTTCCCATCTCACTTCTCTTACACCCACAGGGCTGTGGTCACAGCATCGGGTCAGAAGATGGATGGGATGGACATGGAAGGGCTCTGGGGCCTCCTGGGAACCTTGCTCCTTGGGCCAGAGGAGAGGGATGCAGGAAGCAGGGGTGGAGTTGGTAGTCAGCACCCAGAGCCCCTCAGGGTCTAGCAGGGTGGGAACAGTGTGCTCTGAGGCCCTGGCCTTGGTCCCACCACCATGTTTGGGAAACCAGGCGTCAGCAGGGGAGGGAGGTGCCCAGCGAACCCCATGCTCCTGGCCAGGCAAGGTTTCCATCCCTGCCTCTGAGCAAGCCCCAGTGGGCAGCGGGGTCCTGCCTACCCTGCAGGTGGCTCTGTGGGCCCAGGCCCTAGGGAGGGCGCTGAACCGGGGTCTGCCACGCTGGGCAGGTGCCACAGCCACACACACGGTGCCATGGGCAGGGCTCTGGGCAGGCCTCACAGTCACGGTGGCCTGCCCTACCCGGCTAGGGTGCCCAGGGTGGTCTGCAGAGATGGGCTGCTCCTCCTGGCCCAGGCCCCAGGCCACGAGCACAGCCTGCACAGCATGTCCCACCTTGAGCCTCACCCTGAGGGGTCTGGGTGTCATGGAGGAGGCTGTGTGGAATGGCTCATCCAAGGCCCTTGAGCCACGAGGCTGTGACCAGCACTGCTCTAGAGTGGCGTCTATCACAGAGCACTGATGGCATGAGGTGTGCACTGTGCACATGCGGGAGCCCATCGAGGCCTTCAGACTGCTCAGCACCCCAGGGCACCCCAGCTGGACGGAGCTGCACCTTTTTCTTTAGGCGGAGGTTGTTAGGGGGCGCCTCGGGGCTCTCTGGAAACTTAGGCTGAAGGCGCCTGGTGCTGCAGTCGCCCAGTAGGGGTATCCTGGGGGCTTGTGATGGTGGCCCTGGGGCTCCCCTGACTCTGCACCTCAGGTCCACCTTCCCTTCCCGGCCAGGCCACCCCTCCCTGCCCTCGGGCACCTGTGCTCCAGCCTCCCTGCGCCTGGCACAGGCAGGCTGGCCGTGCCTCCCAGCCCTGCCTGCAGGCCCAGGAGAGCCAGGCCTGATGCCACCCCTGCCCTGCAGCACTGCACCTGCGCCAGCAGAAGGAGCGGTTCCCCGCACAGCACCAGCGCCTGAGCCTTGGCTGCCCAGTGCTGGACGCACTTCTCCGAGGTGGCCTGCCCCTGGATGGCATCACTGAGCTGGCTGGACGCAGCTCGGCAGGAAAGACCCAGCTGGCGCTGCAGCTCTGCCTGGCCGTGCAGTTCCCACGGCAGCATGGAGGCCTAGAGGCTGGTGAGCGGCCGCCCCCTTCCCTGGGGTCTGGGCAGGTGGGGGGCCCCTGCTTTGTACGGGAGAGCTTTCCGTTGAGGTTGGGGAGTGGTTGCCTCTCGGACTGTTCCTACCATTGCGTCTCCCTCCTCCTTCCCGTGCTGTTTGCTATCGCTCCTTCCAGCACAGGGAGGGGGTAGTGAGGCTGAGCTTGGCTGACAGCAGGAGGGGTGAGGGGGTAGGAACCCCACCGCCAGGCGCCTGCAGCCTGCCCTCAGCAGAGCTAGGCCCCCGGGGTCCACAGAGCCAGCAGTACATGGAGCGCAGCACGGCCCTTCTTACGGGTGCTCCAACGCCAGGCCGGGCACGCTCCTGGTACAGCACCATGAGCCTGTACGTCTGTCTGTGAAACAAGGGTTCCCTGCGTTGTACTGAAGCAGTCAGAGCGCGCCTGCTTGGGTCTCTGGGGTGTTAAAAGTTCATGTAGTTTTAAACTGTGAGCTCTGAGTAGGGGAAATGTGTTTCTTAGTAGCTCCTTGTTGTCGTAAGCTCCATGTGAACAGAGTGGCAGCTTTTTTCAGCAGTGGCGCCTTCAAGCTCATCTGCTAGGCTCACTTCCCACATGGGGCAGGACCCGAGGCCCTGGACCCACAGGCCCTGCCAGCCACCTCCTCACAGGCCTGACCTGCCAGCAGTGGTGTGGCTGGGAACCTCTCCACTGCCACCCTTATGTCAGCACGGTTCCTGGGACCCAGGGTGTGCTGTGCCTGCTGAGCCTCAGTGTTGGGTGTAGTGGAAGGGGGCTCCTGAGAGACCTGGCTGGGGACTGCTCACGCCACAGGCATTTTTGTCCCTGCAGCCCTGGGGAGGGCGCCCTCCTGGCAGGTGCCTGCAGCTGGTCTCGGGGTGAGCCTGGAGACAGCCAGAAGGATGGGAATTGGCCTTGAAAATGAGAGTCTCCCATTTATCCCACGGAATAGTTTCTGTGAGATAGAGGCAGGACTCAAGTGTGCTGGGAATGGGACGGGAGCTGCCCTCATTCTCCAGCGTCCTCTGTGCCAGGCTTCGTGCAAATGTGATTTGTGCTATGACTCCCCCAAGCCTCCATCCTGTTGGCCTTTTCAGTGAAGCCCACATTCCCCCCTGCTCCAGGGACACGGGAGCCTTAGGACACCCTCCCTGCATCCCCCAGCTATGCCCAGCCCAGTGACCGCTGCGGGCGGCGTGAGAGCACGTCGGCCTTGTGGGCTAGGGGCAGGGAGGAGGCCCCAGGCCACCGTGACCATGTGCAAGATTAGCTCTAAGATGCCGTCTCCTAGGGAAACAACCTTTTCCTAGATTCAATCTAAAGGCCCAATTTTTGAAAAGAAAGTGGCAGGCAGTCTCTGGAGAGATTCTGAGTCCTGTGCTTGAGCCATGTGAGGCCCTCCCAGGCCCGCAGGGGCCCCGCCCACCACTGGGCTGCCCACAGCCACCTCCCTGCCAGCGTCGCGGTGTCCTGGTGGCTGTGCAGCCCCTTCATGCATCATCCCAACAAAAACAGGCTGCTTGACCAGTTCCCCCTGCTTCCCAGCCTTCCAGCCCAGCCTCTCCCCAGCCAACAGGGCGGAGGAAGCGCAGGCCCCCGCCTGCCTGTGACCCCCTGGCTAGGGGCACAGCCACATCTGGGGACTCTGGTGGGGAAGGGAACCAGCCACAAAAGAGATGTGGCCTTCCAAGGCAGTATTTGTACATCCCTGGCCCCACATGGGCCAGATGCTTCTCAGAAGCTTAATTCTGACAGAACAGGGGGAAGGCTCCTGACTCTCTTTGCAGCTCTTCTCTATGGTTGAAATTCTGTCAGAAAAAATCAGATCAGAATGAAAGGTTCCATGGACACTCACCAACAGGCTGCATGCCACAGCGTGAGGTGCTGGCTCCCCACTGCTGCTGTGCCGCTGCGGGAACCGCCGAGACTGGACCGCCTTCCTGGCACAGTCAAGGCCTAGGCAGCTCGCTGCTTTTTTTTATTACTCAAATCAGTCTCCCCAAGCATTCCTGTTTTTTTAATTGAGATGTAATTTACATGCCATAAAATTCACTCTAAAAGCGTAAAATTCAGTGGCTTTTAGAAGCACAAAAATTCTGTGCCCCTCACCGCTGTCAATTCCAGAACATTTCCCTCACCCTAAAAGGAAACCCCTCCCCATGAGTGTAAACCCCCGCCCCCAGCAGCCGCCTCCCTTTCTGTACCTGCGGTTCGTCCCATCCTGGGCGCGCCATGCGAGCGAATCCAACAGCACGTGGCCTCGTGACGGGCTTCCTTCACTGGCATTGTGCTCTGGAGGTTTGCCTGTGCTGGAGCAGGCGTCAGAACTGCCTTCCCCTTTGGGACTGAATCATACTCCGCCGTAAGGATGGGCCGAATTCTGTTGGTCCACTCCTCAGTTGATGGCATCTGGGCCGTTTCCCCTCGGGCTGTCATGAAACGCACTGCTGTGGACACCGATGTGTGTCTTCAGGCGGGTGTCTCTGCTTGTGGGACTGCTGGGTCATGTGATTGGTGTTTAGCTTTTTAAGGAAGTGCCAGTTGTTTTCCGAGCTGCACCATTTTACATTCCTAGCAGCAGCGTACAGGGGTCCTCCTCCACATCCTCACCAACACGTGTCTTTTTAAGCCAGTTTTTTGAACTGAGCAATGGCACAGGTTCACGTGGAGCCCAGACTGCAGGAGCTTTGAAAGTGGAAGAAACATTTGCTCAGTGGGGCCCTAGAGGGTGGCTGTATGTGGGGCTCGGGGGCCATTTCCAGAAGGCGTTGCCCTGATCCTTCCACTTGCTCCCTGCCCTGCGGTGGGGGGACAGATGGGCACGGGGGGCATGGGGGAGGGAGGGGGCGTGGAGCAGGAGAGGCCTCCCGTCTGTGGCCATTCCAGCCCAGGGCCCAGGACAGGGGAAGACCTTGCCTGGGTGTCAGAAGTGGAGGCCCAGCCCGTGTTCCTCCTGGGGAGTCGCCTGGCTCCAAGGTGGCTGCCGGTGGGAGAGAGAACCAGCGCCAGCCTCCTCCCTCCCCGGGCCAGGGGGGAAGAACCTGTGAGGGGCAGAGAGTTAGAAATGGTGGGAGACATCTGCACTTGATGTATGTGGTGGCCACAGGCCATCTGGAGCCCCTAGGCACATCAGGCACTCTGGCTTCCCAGGAGCCGTCTACATCTGCACAGAAGACGCCTTCCCACACAAGCGCCTGCAGCAGCTCATGGCCCACCAGCCACGGCTGCGCACTGACGTTCCAGGCGAGCTGCTTCAGAAGCTCCGATTCGGCAGCCAGATCTTCATCGAGCATGCAGCCGACGTGGTGAGTGTGGGAGAAGGCCTGGGACATCCCAAAGACAAGCTGTTCAGGACCACAGGGGCAGCTATAGCCACCACGGCAGTGGGATCTCACAGTAGGACCAGAGAGACAGGGCTCAGCTCTGAACACAGCATAGGCCATGGGGGTTGATGGCCAAAGAGCAGGCGGGTCACAGGATGGACAGTGACTGGGCGGAACCGGCAGGGGAGGGGTCCTGGCCAAAGCGTCCTGCCAGGATCCTTGCTGAAGGGGGCCGTGGGGAATCAGACCACCCCTGGGGACAGTGGAGGATAAGGAGCGGATCAGCCACTGAGGGCGATGGGATTCTCAGCAGGGATTGCCAAAACTGGATTTCATGAGGACATGCACAGATGGGCCTAGGAGGAGGCTAGGAGCCTGATGGCAGTTTGGCAAGCAGAGAATCCTGGCCAGGAGTGGCTGTGGGCTGCAACATCCAGTTATGTCTCAGTCTCAGGCAGCTTCAAAGCATGGTCTAGAATGAGGATGCCCATATTCAGACTGACTTTCTTTGTTATCTGAAACTCGTGTAACTGAGCGCCTGTACACCCTCTCTCAACCCTGCCCATGACGACGGAGTAGAGAAGAGAAGCCCCAGGTGGGTGGCAAGGGCCTCCTCTGGGCTTCGGGCCCCTGGTCAGCTGCCCCTGACCACCGCCCTGAGAAGGGTGGGGCCTGCTCTCCAGGCTACTGCCCTGGTGAGAGAGCTGTGTGGGTTTCACCCCTGCCTCTGAGGGGAAGACGGCCCTCACTGGGGACACAGTCCTGGCACCCAGCTCAGACCGGCAACCTCAGATCCTTGACCACCACCTGGCTGCTGGCCTCCCTGCACACACTGGCTGGGCTTGGAGGAAGGACTCCGTGGCAGGGCCTTCCAGAGAGCAGGGGCCACTCACAGGGGGGCCAGTCAAGTCCGTCCTACAGCCAGGAAGCAGGCGAGAGGCCGGGACCCATTCTGGCAGCTGGGGCAGCAGTGCTGTGAGCTGTCAGCGTTTAGTTTACAGAGATCATTCCAGGGAGGGAGAAGTGATGAGTAGAAAAGATCCAGAAGGAAAGATGGGAAGTTTGGGATTAAACCCTGACCAAAAGCAAACAAGGAAATTCCGTCCTGAGCAGGGGGAGCAGCTGCCATGCCCAGCCCACCCTTGACATGGCTGTGGCTGGGCAGAGCCCCTAGGTCCCAGGTGGGCCTTCCCCCACTTCTCAGAGTTCCTATAAAAAAAACTTCCAAGTGAAACATAAGGCATATAAACTTTTAATTTAAAAAAATGTACAATAAAATACATTATGGCACACAACGCGAGAAGTTACACGTGGGAAGGGAGCTACGGGCCCAGCTCATGCCTCAGGTCTCCTGGGAAAGGCCACACCACACCAGGGCACCAGCTTCGGCCCAGCCCCAGCCCCAAGGCTGCGCCAGCTGTATAGTCATTAGTAGTGCGCCCCATGCACACAGATGCAGGAGAAATAAGAGTGCTGCGGCTCCACCGGGGGCCCTCCCTGCCGCCTGGCTGTCTTGGGCCAGCTCCGGGCCACACTCGGCATTCCCATCCTGGAGTGGGACCAGGTCGGGGTCACTGCAAGAGAAGGTGGAAGGTCAGGGCTGGGCTGCCAAAACCTGATAGTGTTACTAACTTCTGTTCTGGAAACAGCTCTGGGGAGCCCTGACCCCAAGTCTGCCCAGAGCAGCGGGTGTTGCTGGTTGTAAGCCTCCCTGGGGCCGAGGGGTCATGGGCAACTGGTGCGTCTTTGGCCTCCACTCCCTGGAGCGCCACAGGCCTGAATCTGGCATAGGGGAGGCCAGCGGTGTAGACACAGAGCCTTCTCTTGGTGTAAGCAGGGCCTGGTGCCATTCCCACCCCCCACTCTGCTGTGGCCCTTGGGCTTGCATGAGGATGGGGCTCCCTGAGCCAAGCCCCTCTTGAAGGCCCAGCCCTGCAGCTAGCAGCAGCCACCACTTGCCCACCCCCAGTCCCCCAGGTGCCTGCCTCCCGGGGTTGCAGGCTGCTGAACTCACGTTAGCGATAGCGTCTTCCAAGCCACTGCTGCTGCTGTCGTTTTCCACAAAAAGAGGCTCGGCCAGAGACGCCCTGGAGACGAAGCACAGAGTTTCACTCAGGGCTTGCAGGCAGGCCCTCAGGCATCTTCAGAGCTCCAGGTGTGACACCAGGGTGTAGCTGCAGACCTTGGACTTGGGGGGCCGCCTAGGGGTCCCTCACAGCCTCCATCTGGCCAGAGCTGCTGGCAAGGCCCATGAGGCCTGAACTGCCCTGCTTGGTGCCAGGAGCAGCTGTGCCACCCTCCCCCATCACCACAGCTCACCAAGCTCTGTGGTCAGAGGCCAGGCCATGCCAATGGCCCTAGCACCCACAGAGCACAGCAGCACCCAGAGGGAGGCTGAGGATACCTGCCTTCCTTGGGGGCCCCTCTCCTGGGAGCCGGTGGGCACAGGGCCATTTCTACCCCTTGGCCAGGCCAAGCCTGCTCAGAGCACAGGGCTAAGGCCTGGGGGCACAGGAGGCACTGGCCTTGGGGGTGTCTCCACCTGCAGCCCCACCCTGACCCCCACGTGGTCTCCCAGGGTGTCCCACGCCTCAGCAGAGGCAGGCGAGGCCTGACCCACCTGAGTAACAGCCTGAAGGGCATCAGGCCCCTGCCTTGCTCAGTGTCTGGAGAGGGTACATCCCAGGTGAACATGGCCACCACGGGCTAGCTTTGATGGCACTCTGGCCAGGTCCTGGTAGTCTTGGCACCTGGCATGGGGCCACTAAAGGAGGCGGGTGGTAGCTGCTGACCCGTGACAGGGAGATGCTGAAACCATGGCAGGAGTGGGAGCAGACCCCCACAAGGACTCAGGAGCCTGGGCAAAGGACCAGAGGAGGGACAGGGGTCCAAGGGAACCAGATGTGTGGGCCTGAAGCGTCTATAATTGGAGCCTTCACTGGACTGGGCCCAGAGTATGGGGGCTGCAGAGCTGGCATCATCAGCCCCCAGTGGGTAGGATGATTCTGAGTCAGACAGTCGAGGTGACAGTCCAAAGGGGGGCTGGTCATCTGGGGCAGGGGCTGCAAAGGCAATGGCAGCTGTCCCCACAGGACACCTTGTTGGAGTGTGTGACTAAGAAGGTCCCTGTTCTGCTGTCTCGGGGCATGGCTCGCCTGGTGGTCATCGACTCGGTGGCAGCCCCATTCCGCTGTGAGTTTGACAGCCAGGGCTCCGTCTCCAGGGCCAGGCGTCTGCAGTCCCTGGGGGCCACGCTGCGTGAGCTGAGCAGTGCCTTCCAGAGCCCCGTGCTGTGCATCAACCAGGTGGGTGGCAAGGCAAGGGTGAAGCCGTGAGCTCGTATTTTTAGCCAGGATGTGAAGCAGAGCTGGTCTGGAGGTGGGGTGGGTGACAGTGAGGTGGCCTTTGGCTCTCGCGGGTAGCAGCCTGTGCCTAACCATCGGGAAGACCCTCAGCCGCTGCAGCTGATCTGGACTGGGCTCTTCCAGGTGACAGAGGCCGTGGAGGAGCAGGGCACAGTGCACGGGCCACCGGGGTGAGTACAGCCATATGTCGCGTGTGCCTCTGCACAGGTGACGGGGTGCAGCTGGGCCGACGTGGGCAGGGTTACCCAGCCTTCTGAGCGCCAGCCCACCCGCTTCCTGTTTCTCAGGTTCTGGGATGAGCGCATTTCCCCGGCCCTTGGCATAACCTGGGCCAACCAGCTTCTGGTGAGACTGCTGGTTGACCGGCTCCGTGAGGAAGAGGCTGCCCTCGGCCAGCCGGTACGAACCCTACGGGTGCTGTTTGCCCCCCACCTGCCCCCCTCCTCTTGTTCCTACACAATCAGTACAGAAGGGGTGCGAGGGACACCTGGGACCCAGTCCCACTGACACGACAGCAGCTGCAGAACAGCCCTGCCTGAGAAGCCCTGACACTGGCGCTCCGGCCTTTAAAATGCTGTCTGCCTTGGCCGTGGCACAGCTGGGAATCTGGTTCAGAGCCCTCCTCCAGGGCAGCAGCTCCACTTTCTCAACTGAAGATGGTGACCACGGACTGATTCCCACCTGAGCTGGGCGGGAGGCGGGGGTGGGGCGCACTGTTCCACCCCTCCCTGGGTTTGGGGGCAGGCCTGGCTTGCTGGGCACCTGGTCCCCACTGCTGAGCTGGCCCTTGGGGGGCAGGTGATTCTCAGGGCTGGGGCCTGGAGGTGTCCCTACAGTGACCCCCTGGAAGCCCCGCTGCTTTGGCTTTCCACATGAAAGCCCACCTGGGGTCAGGTCTGAGGCCTGGCACCTCAGACCCCACAGCTCCCGGGGCCCTGCCCACCAGGGATCCCTTCCTCCACACAGAGCAGTCCTTGCTCCCCCTACCACCCAGGCCACAGCGGGGCTGCAGGCAGGTGGTTCCTCCTCACCCACCTCTGGGTCCTCGGCTCCTGGGGACCCCATCACAGCACACACTGTGCCTCTCAAAACTTCAATGTGTGGTACAAGGTGAAGAAAGCATATCCCACTGATCTCCAACTTCAGGGTCCAGGGGAGCCTGGGGGTGGGGGGACTGCCTTGTCTCTAGTAGTGTGGCCTGTGCCAGCACCACAGCCAGATGGAGGCGCTCAGGCAGTGCAGGGCTGGCACATGATAGGCTCATCAGTTAGCTGGGAACACAGTTCTGGGCAAGGAGGATCTGATGTTGAGAAAAAGGAGTGTCCCAGTACATCCTGGGTGCCCCCAGGCAGTCTGGGCATCCAGCTCAGCTCTTGGCCTGTTTGGGTGGCCAATCTGGTAAGGATATGGCAGGACTCCTGGCAGGGCCACCTGCAGACCCAGCCGCACACTGTGGCCAGACCTCACATCTGGCTGCAGATGCTGACATATCTGCCTAGCGGCGAGAAGTGGCATGGCCTCCTCATGGGCAGAGCAAGGACCCTCTTGATTTCCCACAGCAAACCTCCTCCACCCCCAAGTGCCCCCATGTGCTGCCTGGCACCGAGCAGGCCTTTGACAAATAAACGGCGAATGGATGCAGTTCCAGGACCTGCTTCTTGCTGTCTGACTGCCACTCCTCTAAGTAATTTATGCACATGGAAGTGTGTTCTCTTCACAGCTCCTGGGGACAGGTACTGTCACTACATCTCCACTTGCAGGCAGGGAAACTGAGGCCCAGAACTGTCAAGTGGCTTGACTCCTCCCACAGCACAGAGGCAGAAATTGTCACCCCCCCCATCCCATGTGCACAGGGTGAGCCTGGGGGTGCTCACCCTGTGCAGTGGGAGGAGAGGCCGGTACTGGTTGTGGGGAAGGTAAGGGGTGGGGCCATACTGTGCAGAATTTTTCTTTTGCTGTTTTCGAGGGTGGGACAATCCTTTAAAACCTTCGTCACATTATCAAGGCTCTCTATGACCCTACGGTTAAGAACCACTGGCATGAAATAGGAAAAAGTTATTTTGGGGTTGGATTTTTACAAAACAGCCTTTCTGCAAAAGTGCAGGGATTTTACAACAGGAAATATTTTATTTCTGTAACTGAACATAAGCAATTCCAAATGCTTTTCTAGGCAAGACATGCGAGCAATGAGAAAATGAGACACAGCTTAAAGACAGAGGTACATTTAATAGAGAAAACATTCCTGGAAGCTAGGCCGGCCCCGCCCATTCTGGCTCAGTTCCTGCCCTGGAGGGAAGGGGCTGAGGAGCTTCCTGTCCCAGGGAACTGCCCCCCACCACGAAGTCTGCAGAAGGGCTGGCCTGGCAGTCGCAGGAGCACTGACCATCCCCTTGGGAAGGCACCACCCCTGGGGAGACCGGTCCCTGCCCAGGGCCATAGGTCTTGCCCTGAAGACCCTCCCTCAGGGACCACGTGCCCCGACCCTCATTTCCTCACCATTATAAAACACTTTAAAACCACTTAAGTTCTTCCCCACAACGTTGGGGAACTCATTGTAAACAATACACGTCTATGTGTCAGCCCTAAGACAGCCGGCCCCACTGCATATACAGCTGGCGGCCCTGGCAAGACGCTGTCAGAGACATGAGTGCTCTACAGGATTCAGAAACCTGAACACAGTGTACACACAGCTCACAAGTAAGTGCCAACAGAAGCTAATGACATCCTCCAGGAAAATTCCATAACGTTATGATAGTGCAAAACCTGTTACAGATTGTAACCATATCTCCTTAGCAGTGTTTAATATATCTACATCTATAAATACTGAATTTCTAATTACATGATATTCCTAGCAGCTTTCTGACCAAATAGAAATCTTTTTTTAATTCCAGAAATTTCAGGAAGTAACTATGTGAATCCCTCCAAGCTGTAAACATGAGACCAAGTGCTGCCCACAAGAAGGCCCCTGTGCCACCCATGGGCACTGCCAACCTCGGAGGACCCCTGAGCTGCACACTGCTGCTGCCTCAGGGAAGCACCCGTGTCACAGGGCGTCCCGAGGGCCTGGTTTCTGTCACAGCAGCACAGACTACCCAGAGGTACGCTGTACACTGGCAGAGCCAGACACTCCCATGCAATGGTTGCTGGGCCCCTGCGCTGCACATGTGGCTGCCGTGGGGGGAGCAGTGATTATTTTGACAGCAGCTCTGAAGAAACAGGTGCTGACTCTCACGCAGGGTTTCCCTCACCAGAAAGACAACACAAAGGAGCAGGCATGGCTGGGCCCACCACTTCTCTCCTCTGAAGGCAAAAATTCAGAAGCACCAGATGGGAAATGACTTAAATCACTACACCTCTGTGGGTGGGGGGAGGGGGAGGTTCAAACATCAGAGACTCAGATACTCAAATTCCCTTGCTGCTTCCCTCTCTGAAACACGAACCTTCCTCTACAAGCTGGCTTCAGGGAGGCCCTCTGGCTTCTCTTACCCATCAACACACTGCTCCACAGCCAGTGCTGCAGAGGCCCCACACAGCCTCATCTGCACCCATCAGTCTGAAGAGGTTAAAACTCAATTCCATATTCAGCCCTATGTTTATTCCTTCTAAATGCCCTTTTCCTTTCCAGAGAACCGTCAATAAGGGAAACTGTCTGGGTTCCAAACTCTGCTCAGCATCCTCACAGGGAGAAGACACCCCCACCACAGGAGAAGTTCTGGAGCCCTCCTGCCTGTCACCTGTGGGGGCAGCCACGGCACCTGCCAAGGGAAGCTGCTCTACACCCCCCCCCTTTTTTGTGGGGTGGCTTCTCACAGCCCATCAAATTATATATATGTGGGTTTTTTTGGTAGAGACAGACTTGCTATATTGCCCAGGCTGTTCTTAAACTCCTGGGCTCAAGAAATCATCCCACCTCAGCTTCCCAAAGTGCTAGGATTAGGGGCGTGAACCACGGCACTTGCCCTTGTATGTATGTATGCATGTATGTACGTGTATGTATATATATATTTTTTTTTTCCTCCTTCCTCCCTCTTTTTTAACATTTTTTTCTTTTAATCCCACCCACCATTACAGAACCTATCACATTTTTTTAAACATCTCTGTGTAGAATTTAAAAGTTCCTGATCCATCAGAATCTGCAAGAATGGAGTCAGGAGCCTCAGAAAAGGAGTCACAGCCACAGGTGGGCAGCTTGGGGACAGGGCTTGTTCCACGGGGCAGCTCCTGAGCCAGGCACTCACCCACAACTAGATGGAGCTCTGTCTCTCAGAAACACGCCTTTTCCGAAACACGGCAGTCCTCGACACGAGATGGGAGGAAATGACATGAAACTTTTAAAGGTATTTTAAAGCCTAGCCTTGTAACAAAACCCCAGGATGCTCTGTTGCCAGCCCTTGGCCCCATGCCCCACAGGAAGCTTCCAAGGGCTGGAGGCGACAAGTGTGAGCCTCTGTTGTGCCGCCGCCTGCCCTGTGATGTGAAAGCAAGCTGGCCTTTCACGGAATGGCCAGTGTTTCACAGACCACCCCTCTGTCCTATAGCATAGCAGGCTGGCATTCATCCTCTGGAATCTATGCTCACCTCAGCATCTGTTTTGTATGCTCTTTACCTATGGGTTAGTCTGCGGATGGCCCTAAGAAAGATGGCCTCAGCATTAATTTGAAAATGTTCCTGTCAAGAGTCCACCACCTTACTTCATTCTGTAAAGCTTAAGCTTTTAAAAAGTGAAAGGCACATCTCTATGGGCTTTGTGTGCAGGGGCTCCAGGAGAAAGAACAGTGCTCAAAAGGGGTGGGCGTGGGGCCCCAGGCCTTGCAGGCGCCCAGGGCCATAGGCATGGGGACCTTGGAAACAGATACCCAGGGGATTCGCTTCCCACTGACCAATGTCTGCTAAGCTTCAGGCTTTACTGCCGCAGATCACTAAATGCCTATAGTTCTGAAAGGGGTACTTTACATTTCCAGATTCTTTATTTACAGCCCTTTTTTTTTCTTTTGAGACTGAGTCTCGCTCTGTCTCCAGGCTGGAGTGCAATGGTATGATCGACTCACCACAACCTCTGCCTCCTAGGTTCAAGCAATTCTCCTGCCTCAGCCTCCCAAGTAGCTGGGATTACAGGCATGCGCCACCATGCCCAGCTAATTTTTTATGTTCAGTAGAGATGGGGTTTCTCCATGTTGGTGAGGCTGGTCTTGAACTCCCAACCTCAGGTCATCCTCCCGCCTCATCCTCCCAAAGTGCTGGGATTACAGGTGTGAGCCACTGCGCCCAACCCAATTTACAGCCTTATTACAATGTTACAATTTAAAAGAGAGTTTGGTGTTATGGCAAAAAGGTAGCAGGCAGGAAATGCAACAGCGTCTCTGAGCAGGAGCCAATCCCCAGCATGCTGAAGCCGCCTCGGCACCCCCTGTGCCTCCCTGGGCCAGCCTGGCTGGGTGGTGGCTGGGGCAGCTCCTGGCACTAGGACTGCAGGCCGGGTAACAGAATGCTGGGGCACGGCTGCCCGGGTGTTTTGAAAAGGCACCTCCAAGGTTGGTGGACGTCACTATCTAGGAAAGAAAGCCAAGGAGTGCGGCTGGCGCCTCCGGGCAGGGCGGTGAGGGGCGTGTCAGGGCGAGGCAGTCTCACACTCGCAAGGCAGGTTACCTAGCCCTGCTGCCCTCAGTGGGCCAGGTCAGTGTGGCTGGCACTCAGAGCTCGTGAGTCTGCCAGACAATTATTTCGTTCCTGCATGAAAAAACAAATGGAAAAATTACACTTAACCAGGACTTCAAATGATGCCAGCTTCAAATGGCCTCAAGCCTAACAGTACCAGCTGCACAACTAAGTCTAGGTTGGCACTCGAGAGCCCCAAGAGTCCCTGTGTGCAGGGAAACTCTGAGAAACCAGAGGGCAAAAGACTGGGTCAGCTACAGAACCCTGTAAAACAACAGACTCTTTCCTCTCGTTATTGGGGTGGTTCAAGCAAAATATCCAGCACCCTCCCAGACTCTTTAACAGCCACTGAGAAGGAGGCTGGGGAAAAGCTTTCCAGAGGCGGCTGCCCCCCAGGAGTCTTAGGGGACAGGTCGGGGTGCTGGCCACCATCACGAGCTCTCAACACCAGCACAGGGGCAGGGACTGCCAAGTCCCAGCAGCTTGAGCTGCCGGGCACCTGAGAAACAGGCAGATGCTAGAACAGCCACAGGCACCGGCCACCCACTGACAGCCACACAAAGGGCAGAGTGGATGAAAACTCAGCATCTGCGATGGGGAAGGGAGCCAGTGCTTTCAGGCACCAGCCACCAGCTGACAGCCACACAAAGTGCTGAGTGACTGAAAACTCAAAAGGCCTCCATGACGGGGAGGGGAGCCAGTACCGTCAAATGTGAACCTGATGTGTTTGTGAGACCTGGACACCTTCACTAAGTGCTCAAGATTTCAGTGTCAAACGGACAACAGGTTAGTTGTCATGTTAATACAAGTTTGAATACTCTTAAACATTGAACAGCTTAAGTAGACAATAAATTATTAATAATTATAAACTTAGTAGAGGCTAAATCAAATTAATCATACAAACTAGTAACTGGTCAAGCTTCGATAGTACTTGAACAGAATACATTAATTAGGTTACACTATTTTTAAATAGTTTGAGATCATCACTATTTTGAGAATGTTCACGGTGTGAACATACCCATAATTCACGTCATCAGTGGTTAAGCAGAATATTAAAATACTACTGTCACAACTGTCTGTCTAGAAACAAACATCGAGGCATCCCCAGCCCTCTGCAGGAGCAGGGGCAGAGCGGGGGCTGGGCATGGGTCTGCAGCAGACCTGCCAGCATGGTCCGGGCACCCCAGGACACAACTCGGGGTAGGCTCCTTACTTGGAAGCGATCTTCAGCAGCCTTGCCACCCACGTTAAGGACATTCAGAGAGCTGGCACGCTTCATGCTGCAACCCGGACACGGACATGCAAGGACAAACGGTCAGCACATCGGTCAACCAGCAACAAGAAGCACAAGCAAAGCCCCCTCCAAGGCCTCTGTGACACGGGTTCTCAGGACCTTGCCTTCATCTTGCTTGGGTAACATTGGGAGTCCAGGGTCTCACTCTAGTTGGTGCCCAGGAGAAAAGACCACAGTTCTCTGCATCTTTCGCAGCAAAATGCTTCTTTTAAAGTACCATATAGAAACCCAAAGTGTCCTTATATTTGCACTTTTAAAAAGTGGCTCATTTAGACTAGGCGCAGCAGATCAAGCCTGTGTTATCTCAGTGCTTTGGGAGAGGCCAAGACAGGAGGATCGCTTAAGCCCAGGAGTTCAAGACCAGCCTGAGCAACGTAGGGAGACCCCCATCTCTACAAAAATTAAAAAAAAAAAATTAAGGCTGGGCGTGGTGGCTCACGCCTGTAATCCAAGCACTTTGGAGGCCAAGGCAGGCAGATCACCTGAGGTCAGGAGTTCAAGACCAGCCTGACCAACATGGTGAAACCCCATCTTTAAAAAAAAAAATTAGCCAGGCATGGCGGCGTCCATCTATAGTCCCAGCTGCTCAGGACTCCATCAGAGAGGGAGGATCGCTTGAGCCCAGGAGGTCAAGGCTGCAGTGAGCCGTGATCGCACCACTGCACTCCAGCCTGGGTGACAGGGCAAGACCCTGTCTCTCTTTAGAAAGAAAAAAAAAAAAAAGGTGAACTATCTGGGAGCAGAGAGGCTCTGCCTTCTGTCTGATGATTTTCAGGAAGGGAGTTCAATGGCTCATGTCAGATTCATCACCATTAAGGGATCATGAAGAGACACTCAAAGTTCACTGCTAAAAGAAGATGCATAAATATACTATTTTTTACCTCTTTCTATATTAAAAGCAGGAAAAACAACTTTATTGTTAGTAAAATAAACTCTGAAGCCAGTATTTCTCTACTTAGACACCAAAAATTAAAGAAATGGCTCTACATTTAAAGAAATACAGGAATTTATACATATATTTACTTTTCCTCCCATCGGATATCTTGAAAATACCTGATGAAATAGCCTATAAATTATCTGTAACTTAAATGATGGACAGTCATAAAATGACTATCATCGTTCACCACCACCATGGATGCCTCTGAACATAAACTCACCTGACGTTTTAAAACTAAAGCAACCAATACTGAGGGTTACTTAAATTCCGAACGTGAACTGCATGCAACATGGACAGCACACATCAGCATGGCAGTTCCCAGGCAAGCCAAGGACGATGGCTGTGAGGCTGGGGCACAGGCTTGAAGGGTGACAGGGACAGCCTCACACAGGACGCTGGGATGGGGCTGGGAGCCCAGAGCACCCGCCCGTGTGTCAGCAGTGCTGTGAGCACAGCACCTGGCACATGGCAGACACTCAGCCAGCCCCTGCTGAACAACTGCACCAAAAGCAAAGACCTGAACTTCCTTATCCCCAAGCAAAACCCATCCCCAAAATGTCTCAACCAAGACAAAACAAAAACATCCCAATGAAGCTTGCACAAACACTGCTGAAGTCTGAAACAGGTTTTTCTATACCTAGAATTACTCAAGAACAAAGTATAAAATCAAACCAAATCACAAGTAAATTATCATCTGACATACTCAATTATTCTTGCTCTTGTTTAAGTGGCCATTAACTCTTTTCTTTGAGACGAAGTTTCGCTCTATCACCCAGGCTGGAGTGCAGTGGTGTGATCTCGGCTGACTGCAACCTCTGCCCTACCCCAGGTTCCAGTGTTCTCCTGCCTTAGCCTCCCAAGTAGCTGGGATTATAGCCGCCTGCCACCAAGCCTGGCTAATTTTTGTATTTTTAGTAGAGAGAGAGTTTCACCACCTTGGCCAGGTTGGCCAGGCTGGTCTCAAAGTGATCCACCCACCTCGGCCTCCCAAAGTACTGGGATTACAGGCGTGAGCTACCACGCCCGGCCATCATTAATTTAAAAAAGAGCTACACAAACCTCCCTCAAACTCCCTTTTACGAAACGATAGAACAACTTAACATCTCTTCCTACCTCTCCCTCGAATTGCCTCGCTTGAACACGTGGCTTAGAAACCTTTTAGTACAGTAACTGTTAGGAGTCAGGCCAAACAGCAAACAGCAAACACCCTGGTCCTGCTACATCCAGCTCAGTGATTCTCAAAAAGTGACCTGGGGCCAGCAGCCGCAGCACTGTGGGAACTTGTGTGAACCGCAAATTCCGAGGATCAGGCACTCAGGAATTGGAAACTCAGGAGTGGGGCCTCGAGTCTCTGTCCAAACTAACCCCCCAAAAGATGTCTGAGACTACCGTCTAGCTGATAAAAACAGTTACTCCTATTTGGAAAGATTATTCAGGTGTACGTATTTTATGGGATGCAATTTCCAAAGTCACTTAGAAAACATTAGTCCGTGCAAGTGTGTGCATCTATGTCACATGCTTCAGGCTAGCAGTGCTGTAGCCCCGTGAACACTGACCACAGTTCTAACACCAGGGGACTGGTCACACACTGCTACATTTTTATCATGGCAAAGACAGAAAACACGAAACAGCAGAACAACTCTGAGAGCTGTCATGTGGGAATTGTGGTCCAAGCTACAACATTACAGCACCAGAACCTCTACACTTACAAGG